GCGGTTGGCGCAGGATAGAGCAGGGTTTAGGGCTGTTGTGCATAGGGTCACTATGAGTCGCAAACGACTCGACGGCACATAACATTTATAATCTGTATCAACAGGCCAAGTCTCCATCTTCCCACACCTATGCAAGGTAAATGAGTAGAAAAAAAGGATCAAAACTTGGGGAAGAAAGACGGGGAAATTTTTACTGAGGCTAAATGGAGCACCATTGTCTTTTATGAGTTCTCCACCTGGTGTGTGGTGAAATGGATAGACCCCAAAAGAAAGGTGACCTCAAGGCCCTTGAACAGATCAGCCAGTTCAAGTGTCACGGGCCATGGCAACCCGCCAAGAACAAGATTAACTACTTATTCAACTTCATTGTAGTTATTTATTTCCTGTAAACAACATGGATATTTGTATTAAAAAGTTCACATGGAATCATTGCTTGGTCATTATTTCAATTCTACATTACAATTCAGTGTCATTCTCATGGGGTTTAAGGTGTGGGTGGTCAAGATGGAGCCAGTATTTATGTTCAGATGTCTTTGGCACATTTCCTGGTTTCTTAAATATCAAAGAACTGGCTGACATGGGCTACTCAAAGCTGCAGAAATACACGGTGTCGGACCTTGGGGTAAGCACAGGTCTGTATTCAGCATTATTTACAAGATGGGAACTGAAATACAGACGTTAAGCAGCAGCTGTCTTTGCAAAAGAGCAGGATCCGACTGGTACAGGAGGCGAGTGCCCCTCCTTCAGCAGAGCATCTGCTGGATTCAAACTGTGTACATCTGGGATTGCAGTGCAGCTTTTTGCCACTAGGCCACCAGAGCTCCCCTTCAGCAGTGGATTTTAATGAGGATCAGGACTCTGACTAGCAGTCCCTGGGTTATGACGTGTTGTCCCTAAAACTGGCTGTGAGTTGACTTTGCTTATCAATTGGAACAGTTAGGTTTGGCTCATATATATCAAAGCTCCCTTATATAGTACTTTTCTACAGTAAAAAAATTGAAACAATTTCAGATACATTAAAAAATCTTTTCTATCCTGATATAGTAATAATGATTTGATAAATGTCCCACAGTGTTTGTTACGAACTGTGCTCTTCGTGTTCCTGGCCATTGACTGAGAACGGATTCACAGTTGACCCTCCAGTGCGTTTCCAGAGGCCGGATGCTGTATGGGAGGAGATCAACCATCTTACTCCAATGCAGCAGCTGGGGGATTCAAACCACTTTCCTTTGAGTTGGCGGCATAACTCCTTACCCTAGACTTCAGATATGTACATACCTCACATTTTTAATATGATAGGCTTTATGGGGTTGGATGATAACTACACTTGTATATGAATCTGATGTTTATAAATCAGGGCCTTCCTGGAACGATCCTCTCTGGCAGAAGGTGGACAAGGGTTGTACAATGGAAGGGTCTCCCCAGCATGCCATTTACTCCTTAAGAATCCAGGGGCATGTTCAGGAGGACCCCTCTGACCAGTGAGGCTTGTTCAACCTCAGGGATCGATATTTATACACAACCTTAGTTGGCAGCTTGAGTTGTTGCTTGGTGGACATTAGAATGCAAGGACAGTGCCCTCCTGGCATCTCTCATCGGGGATGATGGTTCTGGGGAGAATGAAGTCTGCTGACGCGGCTAACAGCACATCTAAAAGCCTTACGTATACAACCTCAGATACAGCTTACATGGGTTCTCTCCAGGACCTGAGAATCCAGAGGTTGAAAATGAATGGCCATGCCAGGACCCAGCTCTGCTTTGAGGTTGGCCCCAAGATTAGTAAAAATCAACCAAGCTCCTGAATGAGGAGCTCTGAGAAGCCCCAAAATCGCCCTGTGAGGAGCTGGAGTTATTACTCGAGTACAAAGAGAGCTTGTGACTTCACATGGACAGTCTAGTCCTGATTTCTATCTGGAGAATGATATGAAAAACATATATACATACATACACACACATATATATATATCTCAATCTATACAGAATGCTGAATTAACAGTCACCCACATCCCAGTGTAGGATGTAGGAACAACGAGCCTTCTCCTTTCTCTTCAGACACCATGCGCCCATCTTAAAACTGCTACTGCGGAGCTGTGCTGGTTTGTTTCCTTTCAAAGTTGTGTTTTTGAACTTGGCTGGAGATGAATCCAAAGTAGATCATTTTGGCACATTAGCTGGGCATTGTTTAGATGGCTCATCGTCTATAAAAATGTGAGAGGCCAAAGGGAATTCACACCAATAGAAATCCTGAGTAAAAATTTGTAACCAATGACGGATTTTCTTTTCTTTTTTTTTTTTTTAAATCTCACAACATTGTTCGGTGAATGAGAAAGCAGCTTCTCCGCCATATTCATTACCTACTCACAACAGCTGTCATTTAATTATACTTTCAAATTCTCTCACATAATTTAAAAAAGATCCCAAAACTCCTAGAACATACAACTTTCCTTTTACTCCATTTCTTTTCATCTCACCCTATGACAAACCCCAAATCTCAGGGAAGAAAAGCTGTGGATCCAAATATAGAAAAAATCTGCATGTCCGTGTATCAAACCAAACGTACAGTTGGCCATTGATGTCTATTTTTCTTAATGTTTTCATTTCCTAAACGACGACTCTTGTGGAGATGCCTTTCCCATCTGCAGGCCTCTGAGGCCATGGGTTCTAGAACTGTGAGGTCTGGGTGAACGAGATGGTGTCGGACTTGTCCACGGCAAAGCCTCCGTTGATGTAAGACTTCTTGGCCTCTGAGTCTTCATTATCAAGTATGGTGGATTCCAAAGCAAAGGGATTCACGATGTTGACTTCAGAAGACATGTCCATCTGCGCCAACTCCTTCTTGGAGAGCTTCTCCACAATGCCTGTCCCAAACGCATCTCCGAGAACATTCACCATGGTCCGGAACCGGTCCCTGTGGGCGAGAGCACGAATCAACTAGTAGGTCCAGATTCCATATCCCTTTGCCAGTGGGTGAGAGGAAAGAAGCAATGTTTTCAGAACAAAGCAAATGCAAAAGGTGCTACCCCATGACTGACTGACCAGTAGACCAGTCTCCACTCAGGCCTGGAATAGAAGGGTGAACACTTGACCTGTGTTCCAACAAATAAGGGTGAACACATGACCTGTGTTACAACAAATAATTATGACTCGCCTAAATCCAGGGAGCTATGGTGGCCTAGCAGGTAAAAAGTTGCACTACCAACTCAAAGGCAGGTGGTTCGAATCCACCAGAAGAGAAAGATGGGCAATCTCCTCCCATGGACTTTACAGCCTCTGAAAACACACTGGATGTACATAAACAATGGTACCAATAACACCCACCCCCCAAAAACCCCTCAGAAACCAACTCCCTGTTCCTCCCTTATCATGGACAGGACTGTGTCCCTCCAGGCCTCCAAAATATATGCTGAAACACAACCCGTGTACCTATAAATAGGACCCTGTGTGGTAACTGAGTTTCCCTTTGTTTTGAGAAGGGAGCTGTGGTGGCCTTGTCCCCAGGAAGCTGAGCTGCTAACGCCAAGGTGGAACCTCTCTGGTGTTCAACTCTACCAGTAAGTCTGAGCTGGTGCTGAGTGAAGGCTCAACAAAGTGCTACACTTTCCCCTGGGAGCAAGGGATGGAGCTAGACCAGGAAGCTGGGGAACAGTGTACAAAATGGGTATCTTGGATAGAGTAAGGCCCAGGCAGGATCTAACCTGAGCCTTGGGAGGCATGGAGACATGCCTACACTTGATGTTCTATTGTGTTCCTTGGAGGGTGTGTGTGTGAGAGAGATACAGAAAGAGAGGGAGGGAGGGAGGGAGAGAGAGAGAGAAAGAGAGAGAGAGGAGAGAGGAGAGAGGAGAGACGAGAGAGGAGAGAAAAAGGGACAGAGAGGGAGGAAGAGGGGAGGAGGAAGAAGAGGGGAAGGGGGAGAGAGGGAGACAGGGGGAGAAGGGCAGAGGAAGAAAGGGAGAGAGAGAGGCGCAGAGGCAGAGAAAGCACAAACAGAACAGCAAAAGGACTGACGGTCCACCTCATTGGAACCCCATCACTAAAACTTGTAGTTTATAAAGCACATATTGTTTGCCAGTCACTGCTCCAGAAACATCACTTACACTAGCTCATCAAGTCCTTACAAGCAGTCAGAGAGGTCATTGGAACTGTTCCCATTTCATAGATAATTGAGCCTCAGAAAGTATAAAGAATTTACTGAAGGAATGGGAACTTAAATCAGTCTTACTGCAAAGCCCTTATTCGGAGTCCTACTCTTAATGGTTCTGGGGATGCCCGGAAAGGTGGGCTGATTATAAACTAGATGGTTCTGAACCAGGGCTGGGCCGGGTTCACACTGCCTAGAGCCTTGGCCAGCTGCTTTACTATGTGTATCTTGTTCTGTACCCAGTTCAACCTTGAGTATCAGCAGGTATAATGAGCTAATGGAGATCCTTAGCTTTAAAAATCACGGCTCAGAGTTATGGAGAGTTAAATTTTAAACACGTTATCGGCTGGCCTGCGCGGAAGGAAGCAGAAGCAACAGATGGCTCATTTGGCAGTCTAGGGTGAGGTGAGGAACACTAGATTCTGCATGGCTGGGAAGCTGTCTTCATCGACCCAGGCGGCGAGCTTTTCCAACTCACAGGAGCCAGTCAACAGCGATGATGAGGGTGACGTCCTCGGCGGGCAGGCCCACAGCACTGAGCACGATTACCATGGTCACTAGGCCGGCCTGGGGCACGCCGGCAGCTCCGATGCTGGCGGCCGTGGCGGTGACACTGTAGCCAAGACATAGACAGGAAAGGAATTAGACTCCCACTTCTCCCTACATGGAACAGCTGGTTCCCAACAGCTGTGGCTACTGTGCCCTCCCACACTGGCCACTCAAAACTGGCATCTGAGCACCTGCTGTGCTGCCTTTTAGAATGAAGACCATGGGGATGAAAAGAAGTCTGATGCCACCAGCTTTCAGGGGAGCCATGGCAAGTCACCACAGAACAAGGAGGCAGAGCAGAACCTCATGTATGGCAAAAAAAAAAGAAGCAGAATATAAAAATGAGCAGTTTACCAACGGTGGTCTTTATGGAAGGCTTTATCTATCCACCTATCTATCATCTACTCATCCGTCCAC